TGCTGTGGCTCAAGTGGTAGAGCGCTAGCCTTGAGCTGAAGAGCTGAGGGACAGCACCCAGGCCCAGAGTTCAGGCCCCACGACTGGACCCAAAAAAAAAAAAAAAGAAATGGGAAGACTTGGGGGAAAAAATTATATTAAGTGAAGTAAGCCTGTGAGACTCTTATCTCCAATTAACCACCAAAAACCAGAAGTGGTGCTGTGGCTCGAAGTGTTAAAACTGCTAAACTTAAGTGAAAGAGCTCAGGTACAGCACACAGGCCTTAAGTTCAAGCTCTATGACCAATAAAAAATAAAAAAGAAAGAAGAAACACAAACCCAAGAGACCTTTACCTCCAATTAAGAAAGAGCTGGTACACCAGTCAGAATGGCCCACGTTCTAAATTCAGCCGACGACAATTGCTAGAGGGAATGTGGAGAAAGAGGAACCCTACTCCATTGCTGGTGGGAATGTACATTAATACAACCATTTTGGAAAGCAGTCTGGAGGTACCACAGAAAGCTAAATATAGACCTCCCCTATGACCCAGCCATACCACTCCTAGGCATCTACCCTGAGCAACAAGAACCAGGAAACAAGTACACACCTCCATGTTTAATGCAGCACTGATCACAATAGCCAAGATATGGAAACAACCCAGATGCCCCACTACAGATGAGTGGATCCAAACATTGTGATACTTATATATAATGGCATTTGCAGGGAAGTGGATGGAACTACAGCAAATCATTTTGAGCGAGGTAAGCCAAGAGCAAAGAGACAAACAGCACATGGTCTCCCTGAGATGTGGATGCTAAAGCCAAAATGCAAGGAGATATGACAAAGTAAACAGGACTCAAGAAACAAAGGACTTCCACTCATTTTGTCATATCATTGCTAAATGACTCCATGTTTTTGACCAAATATGTGAGAAATATATATATATATGCCCATACCTGAGGGAAGCAAGGAGGAGGACACAGAATCAGAAAACAGGAAAACATACAAGAGGGGTCCATCAGCTGCACTGGACATTGAGGAAAATGAACTAAGCAACTCAAAGGCAGCAATGGGAGGGAGGGAATGAGAGGGAATGAGGAACAGCTTACACTAAGCAAAAGGAAAGAAATGTAAATATCACCTGATGTGGAAGAAATAGTTGTATTGTCAAAGCTCACAGAATTCATAAACTTTATAGAACATGAAAATGACAATTTGCCTTGTGAAGATTAAAATGTGTTTGTGACTATAACTATCACTACTCCACAACACTATGAAATATGTGAAATTTATGTAATCATCTAATCTCAATTAAAAAAAAATTTTAAAAAGAAAAAGCTAGAAGTGAAGGTGTAGCTCAAGTGGTAGAGCTCCAGCCTGGAATGAGAAAAACTAAGCAAGGGACTGGGAAGGTGGCTTTGTGGTAGAGTATAGCCTAACATGCATGAAGTATCACGTAAACAGAAAAGGCTGGAAGTGGCGTTGTGGCTCAAGTGGTAGAGTGCTAGCCTTGAGCAAAAGCCCTGAGTTCAATCCCCAGTACTGGCACAAAGCCTTGTTATCTTTAGCCAACCACATTTCTATAAAATTCCACAACAATCTAGTTTCATATAAACAAGTTAACAATTTCTACTATCAGATTGATTACGTTCTACTTCTGTTGTTGTTGGTGGTGGTGGTCCCAGGGCTTGAATTCTGTTCCTCAGCTCTTCAGCTCAAGGCTAGCTAGCTCTCTACCACTTGAGCCACAGCACCACTTCCAGTTGTCTGCTGGTTACTTGGAGATAAGAATGTCACAGACTTTCTTGCCCAGGCTGGCTTTGAACCACGATCCTCAGATATCAGCCTCCTGAGTAGCTAAGATTACAGATGTGAACCACTGGTGCCTGGCCACATTCTAATTTTTATAATTCTAATACTACTAATAAGTATTTAATAAATCCTCCAAACATCTTTTTTTTGGGGGGGGGGTCCGGTCGTGGGGCCTGAACTCTGGGCTTGGGCGCTGTCCCCTCAGCTCTTCAGCTCAAGGCTAGCGCTCTATCACTTGAGCCACAGAGCCACTTCCAGCTTTTTTCTTTTTGCTTATGTGGTGCTGGGGAATCGAACCCAGGGCCTCAGGCATGCAAGGCAAGCGCTCTACCATTGAGCCACCTTCCCAGCCCATTCTCCAAACATCTTTAAGATACCATATTATGTGTAAAACTATCTTTTAGGGAGGAAACAATTTTTCATTTTAAAGATTTTTAGAAAATTGAAATATATTCATTTCAGTAACAATCTAAAAGTAACTTACTGTTGTATGATGTACAACACATTCACCAAGGTACTGTCATTCATTAATTTGATTTTACTTGTAGCTAAATTATGAAGAGTAAGAAATTTTGGATGGTCTCTGACACTCTCAACATTTCTTAACAAGTTGATCTTCTGCTTTTGAAATCTCCAAAGTGTACTAAATGCACATCCCACTTGCTCTTCTGTAAGTGTGGCTTTGTTTCTTTCAATAAGATCAAAGACTTGCTCTTCATCTGTGCAGTTATTCATCTTAACAATTAATGATTCACAACTGAAGGGTCGAAACTGAAACACTCTCCAGGGGAATGTTGAAATAGCTCTTACACGAAACATATTTATAACCAGAGTCTAGGAAAAACAGGTTTTTTTAACTTTATATTGCAAAATTTCTTAGATATTGAAAGCCATCTGCAACTAGTAGCCAAGTGCAATCTGCTGGTGACAAGGTAACAGGTTTGCTTTCCATTAGGATGACACTAAGTCTTCCACCACACAGCTTCTGTAAAACAATTGGTTTGACCTGGTTATTTTCATTTTATTAATATCATATTATTTTAAAAATTCAGGTTTCAAGTAACAAGGTATTTTTTGCATTAACTAGAGACTGATCTTAATCTGAACCAGTAGCAATTTCTGATCCAAACTGAAGTATCCAGAAAAAAAGAGCTTCTACAAGCACCCTATTTTAAAAACATCTGTCTGATATTAACTAAATTTTCAAATTTGACCATAAGAGCAGAAGAAAAAAAAAGGCTAAAATCAGAAAGGGTTTTGTTTTATTTTCTTGTTTTTTTTTTTTTTTAATTTTTAGAAGGATAGTCTCTGGGGCTGGGAAGATGGCTCAGTGGTAGAGCGCTTGCCTTGCATGCATGAGGCCCTGAGTTCGATTCCCCAGCACCACATAAGCAAAAAGGAAAAACCCGGAAGTGGCGCTGTGGCTCAAGTGGTAGAGCGCTAGCCTTGAGCTGAAGAGCTGAGGGACAATGCCCTGGCCCAGAGTTCAGGCCCCACGACCGGACCCAAAAAAAAAAAAGATAGTCTATGGAATCTCAGCTTTCAGGGTAATTTCTCGCCCCTTTCTTCTTGTGCCCTAAAAGAATGTAATTGTGCCATTAAATTACTTAATAACTTTGCATAGGTCTTAATAAATTAGTTGTTTACTACACCAATCAAAAAACATTTAGGGGAGAAGCAACAATGCTTGATTAGAAATGTACTCATTATCTTGCCCATGTAATTGTAACTCCTCTATACAGTATTTTCACAATTAAAAAAGAAAAAAGAAACATTTAGGTTAGGAATGAAATTTGGAAAACCTTAGCCAGGGGCCAGTGGCTCAAGCCTGTAATCCTAGCTACTCAGGAGGCTGAGATCTGAGGATCGAAGTTCATAGCCAGCTGGGGCAGAAAAGTCCATGAGACTCTTATCTCCAATAAACCACGAAAACCTGAAGTGGCGCTGTGGCTCAAGTGATAGAGTGCTTGCCTTGAGCTGAATTGCTGAGGGACAGCGCCCAGGCCAGAGTTCAAGCCTCACAACCCACAAAGAAAAAGAAAAACCTTGTACATATTAGACGACAAAAAAACTGTGTGTTTCTAGGACTTGAATTCAGAGTCTCAGTGCTGTCCTTGAGCTTTTCCGTGATTAACTGGAGATGCGTCTCATGTACTTTCTTGCCTGGGCTGGTTTTGAAGCACTATCCTCGGATCTCCAAGTCCTGAGTAGCTAGGATTACAGACATAAGCCACTGTTCCCTGGTTGACAAAGAACTTTTTAAAAACATCAACTCATTAAATTCTTAACTAACTTACAAGGAAGATACTATCATTTCCATTTTCACACAAGGAAAAAGAGGTTTAACAAGGTTTTTGGGAAAAAAACATATGGGAGGACTGGAGGCTTACAACTGTTATCCTAACTACCCTAGAGGCTGTTAGCCTTTACTTGAGGAAAAAAGCAGAGACAAAAAGGAGACCGAGATGAGGAGGACCAGAAGCCCTCAGGTCAAGTTCCGACACTCTCACACACTCTCCCCTCTCCCGCCCCCCGTCTGTCTCTCTCTGTCTCTGTCTCTCTCTCCAGTACTGGAGAAGCTGAGACTACAACCCCCTTACATCAATAAACAAACACGTTATCACCGTTATCACTAACAATTGGCCTCACACCCTTATTTAAAGTTATGCAAAACTGTACACCACGCGACTGCTCCGCCTTTTTTGTGGCAATGTGCGTGACCCGCTGACCCAAAGCTGCCCTGAGCCGCACACTTCCACAACCAGCCTTGCACAAGGGAAAAGTGCTACTCACGCACACTCAACGTGTAGACCACACGATGATTTGAATAAAGAGAGGCCTCGGCCCCCTCTGAGTGACCTTGGCGAAGCCATTTAACTAACGGGAGAGGCTTGGCTGTTGGCAAGCGGCGGGTCGACTCCCGGTGAACCCGCAGGGTGCGGAGTTCAAAGGTTGCGAGCGACAGGCGCGCTGAGGCGGCGGCCAGCGCGGGAGCGCGGGAGGGAAGACGGTCCCCGCGATCCCGGCAGCATCGGGCTCAGCCCCACGGGTCCTCTGAGCTTCAGCGAACACGGTGCCACCGAGAAAGCGCTCCCTTTCGCCGCCGAACTCCGGCGAGGAAGCACCGCAGCCGCTGCCCGGCCGGGACTCGCCGGCGCGCTCTTCCCCGGCGGCGGAATCCCGGAGTATGGAAGGTTGCGACGGCTCCGAAGTCAGCGATATCCCTGGCCCCCGGCCGCTCGATTCTTCGCTTACCCCTTCTATCCCAGGGTGTTTATACTTTCCACGAGAGACACCATCTTCCAAAGAGCCGGTCTCCTCCGGCAGAGGAGCGCCCTGAGGAAACGTGCGCCAGGGAGACTCACACTACAGTTCCCAGAAGGCTTCGCGCGAAGCGTGAACGTCACGCACGCCTTTACAGGAATTCTGGGATTGGTAGTTTTTTTCCTCAATGAGACGAGCAAAGCCCACATCCAACCTACTGGAAAATATTCAGGGCCTTCAGGTCAGTGTCTTTCTACTGCTGAGGATCTTCCCTGTCCTTTAAGCATTTATTATATTTATAATACATAGAAGAAAGATTGTATTTTAAACTGAAATTATAAATGAAAACAGTAAGCTCATTACGGTAGTCCACTGCTACAAGGCAAGGGATTGCAAGTTCAAAGCATGCCTGGACTGCATAGAGAGACAATGCTCCAAAATAAAAGTAAAAAGGAACAAACAAAAAGTAAACATAGAAAAGGTAAACACGGAATTGGGGGGGAGGGGTTCTGGGGCTTGAACTCAAGGTCTGGGCTCTCAGTCCCTGAGCTTTTGTGCTCAAGTCACAGGTCCACTTCTGGCTTTTTTTGGTAGTCAATTGGAAAGAAGAATCCCAGGACAGCTGGGCGCCGGTGGCTGACACCTGTAATCCTAGCTATTCAGGAGGCTGAGATCTGAGGATCAGGGTTCAAAACTAGCCCCAGCAAGAAAGTCCATGAGACTCTTATCCCCAACAACCACTAAGAAAACCGGAAGTGGTGCTGTGCCTCAAGTGGTAGAGCACTAGCCTTGAGCTGAAGAGCTGAGGGACAGTGCCCAACCCCAGAGTTCAAGCCCCACGAACAACAACAACAACAAAATCCCAGGGCATCATACATGGTAGGCAAACACTATCACTGAATAACACGCCTCAACCATTGTTTTGAAGCAAAGTCTTACTATACTGCCCAAGCATGTCTAATTTTCTGGTTCAAATGATCCTACAGCCTTAGTCTCCTAATTAGCAGAAAGTACAAGTATGCACAGCCTTACTTCGAACACCCAATATCAGACTTCAGCTTTCTGAATAACTAGGATAAAGGACTTGAGCCACTAGGGCTCAACTAATTTTGAAACATTTTTGTAACTCCAGAAAGATATCAGTAACCATTTGCAGACTCCTTACAGCCTGCTGCCTGCAGCTGTGCTCCAAAAACGAAGGCAACAACTAATCCCAGACCACACTCAGTAGTAGTTATATACGTTGTTTGGAACTAGATGGACTGACTGGTAATACATTGTTGATCAAAATACTCAGACAAAATAGATTTAAATGAAAATCTGAGAAAAGTATAGCAAGGTAACAGTATAAGATGTAACAGTACAGGGGCTGGGAAGGTGGCTCAGTGGTAGAGCGCTTGTCTTGCATGCATGAGGCCCTGGGTCAATTCCTCAGCACCACATAAGCAAAAAGAAAAAAACCGGAAGTGGCGCTGTGGCTCAAGTGGTAGAGCGCTAGCCTTGAGCTGAAGAGCTGAGGGACAGCACCCAAGCCCAGAATTCAGGCCCCCCGACAGGACCCAAAAAATATATATATATATAACAGAACAATCTGTGTCAACATCTCTCATTCACAAGACAAAAAAGGGGACCAGGAGTAGAGTTTGGTGAGTTCAGCAGTGTTCAATTCAGCTTGCCTAACACCCCAGCACAAAAGAGAGACATATGCTAGTCCCCAAAACCTAATGCCATTTATCTGAAACTCTCCAATTTATAAGGACAGAAAGTATATTGATATTTGTCAGCAGCTAGGGGAGGGGGAAAATGAGGCATTGAATGAGTTTCAGCTTTGTGAGATGAGGAGTTCTGGACATAGGTTGCACAACAATAAGAATGTACTTTTTCACCGGGTGCTGGTGGCTCATGCCTGTAATCCTAGCTACTCAGAAGGCTAAGATCTGAAGATCATGATTCAAAGCCAGCCTAGGCAGGAAAAGTCTGTGAGACTATCTCCAATAAACCACTTAGAAAACTGGAAGTGGCTCAGTCTTGAGCTGAAGAACACAGGGATAATAACACCCAGGCCCAGAGTTCAAGACCCATGACCAAAAACCAGAATGTAGGGCTGGGAAGGTGGCTCAGTGGTAGAACGCTTGCCTTGCATGCCTGAGGCCCTGAGTTCGATTCCTCAGCACCACATAAGAAAAAAGCTGAAAGTGGCACTGTGGCTCAAGTGGTAGAGCGCTAGCCTTGAGCTGAAGAGCTGAGGGACAGCTCCCAGGCCCAGAGTTCAGGCCCCACAACCGGACCCCAAAAAAAAATCTAGAATGTACTTTTTCCTATTGAATTATAACCTTAAAAGTTAGGATGGCTGGGGTGCCAGGGGCTCACACCTGTAATCCTAGCTACTCAGGAGGCTGAGATCTAAGGAAAACAATTTGAAGCCAGCCCCATCAAAAAAGTCCCGATAGAGAGTCTTATCCTCAATAAACCACTCAAAAGCCAGAAGTGACACAGTGGTAGTAGACTACAGTAGTAGACCACTAGCCTTGAGCACAAAGAAGCTAAAGGACATCACCAGGCCCTGACTTCAAGCCCCACAACTAAGAAAAAAATTTAAGATGGTGAATTTTGTTACACACACACACACTGTTGATTTTGAGATAGGGTTTTGCTATGTAGTCCAGGGTGGCCCTGAACTCAAGTTCTTCCTGTTTCAACTTTCCAAGTACTATGATTACAGATGTATGCTTTCCATAGTTAGTTACCTATGTTCTTAATAATGAACCCAGAGCCTCATACATGGTAGGCAACACTATCACTGAATAACACTCCCTGGCCATTGTGTTTTGAGGCAAGATCTTACTATACTGCCCAAGGTTGTCTTTAATTTCTGGCTCAAATGATCCTACAGCCTAAGCCTCCTAAGAGTATGTACCACCATTTCTGGCTAGCTAACCATTTTTAGTGGTAGTACAGATAGGAACAAATACCTTAGGAGAATGGCTTTGGATGGGGTTAGGGAGAGTTATTAAACTTCAAACATTTTTAGACTGTTTAAACTTTTACAATAAACCAGGTGTGGTGGTACATGCAAATAGTCTGAGCTATTTGGGAAGCTAGAGCAAGAACATTGTTTTGAATCTATGAGTTCAAGACCAGCCTGGGAAGCATAGCAGTAGGGCAACTAAAAAACCACGTTTTTACAATAGCTCCTATTTCTATGAAATATATGTGAAAACAAACATGCTTTTTAAAAAAGTTAAACATACTGTCGTTAATAGGCAATTTCTGAAAGAGAGGGACAAAAGGTGAACAAATGCAGCAATGGTACTCATTAGACAGGATGTTGAAAATGGAACTATACTAAAACACTTGGGAAAAACAGGGAGAAAGTGGGGCAAGGGATGATATTGTCTAAAATGAAATATACTCTTTACTTGAAGAAAAAATAAAAAGTAACCTGTAATCCTAGCTACTCAGGAGACTGAGATCTGAGCATAGCAGTTCAAAGCCAGCTGGGGAGGAAAGTCTGTGAGACTCATCTCCAATAAGCCACCAGGAAACTGGAAGTGGCGCTGTGGCTCAAGTGGTAGAGCACTAGCCTTGAGCTGAAGAGCTGAGAGACAGCTCCCAGGCCCAGAGTTCAAGCCCCATGACCAACAAAAAATAAATAAAAATAAATTTAAACAGGAAGTGGCGCTGTAGCTCAAGTGGTAGAGTGCTCGCCTTGAGTTGAAGAGCTGAGGGACAACGCCCAGGCCCAGAGTTCAAGCCCCACGACCGACAAAAATAAATAAATAAAAATAAATTTAAACAAATTGTTCAAATAGGGATACAGGTTGATCCATTGCAACAATGAGATGTACGAGACGCAATGTCGAAAAACGAACTTTACAATTTAGGTGCGCAGAGGTGGGGAGGGGAAGTGGGGAGGAATGGAGTTGTGGAGATGGGAGGGAAGGGATGGTAGGGGAAAAACAAAGGAGGAGGCAACAATCCTTGATAAGAAATGTACTCATTACCTTGCTCATGTGATTGTAACCCCTCTGTACAGTATTTTCACAATAAAAAAGTATTTAAAAATAAATTTAAAGGGGCTGGGAAGGTGGCTCAGTGGTAGAGCGCTTGCCTTGCATGCCAGAGGCCCTGGGTTTGATTTCTCAGCACCACATAAGAAAAAAGCCGGAAGTGGCGCTGTGGCTCAAGTGGTAGAGCGCCAGCCTTGAGCTGAACAGCTGAGGGACAGCGCCCAGGCCCAGAGTTCAGGCCCCACGACTGGACCAAAAAAAAATTTTTTTTAAATAAATAAAAAGTAAAGATAGAAGTTAACTCCACAGTTAACCTAGCCTAGTCCACCCATACCCCTTCTTTTGGTATCAGAATCCATTCATTGCTCAGTATGTAATCCTTGCTTTTCATGAGCTGAGATCTGAGGAAACCAGCCCAGGCAGCCAAAACTTCCAGATTTTATCTCTAATTTACCAGCAAAAAGTGGAGGCATGGCTCAATGATATAGTAGTAGTCATGAGCAAAAATAGAAGTGAGAACCAGAGGCCCTGAGTTCAAGCACAAATGAAGGAAGGAAACAGAAAATAGGAAAGAAATAAAGAAGGGGGCTAGGAAGGTGGCTCAGAGGTAGAGTGCTTGCCTTGCATGCATGAGGCCCTGGGTTCAATTCCTCAGCACCACATAAGCAGAAAAAGCCGGAAGTGGCGTTGTAGCTCAAGTGGTAGAGTGCTAGTCTTGAGCTGAAGAGCTGAGGGACAGCGCCCAGGCCTAGAGTTCAGGCCCCACAACTGGCAAAAAAAAAAAAAAAAAAAGGCAAGAAAGAAAGAAAGAAGGAAGCAAACCAAGAAAGAAAACCTATTCTCCTTATTTCAAAGACATCAAGGCTAGGCCAAATCTAGCCGGTCAGGCCCATGAGCTACAGATGAATAGTACTGTGTGCTGTGTATAATGAATAAAGCCAAACATCAACAGTTATTTCTCAGTTATATCACATACCAATACAAATATCTCTGGTCAATAAAGACTTTTCTCCACACAGATTTTCATTTGAATGTGGTCTGTTTCTTCTGCTGCTCATATTAGAGTTTGTTCCTCACTGTAAACCTTAAGAGGGTGGAAACCTATTCCATTTTAGATGTTTAAAGGTGAGACCT